TACGCATTCTTGAATAAGACGACCTTTTGTTACAGCTGGTTCGCCTTCGGCCCAGTTCAGGAATGTCACCGGTGATGAGTCCTTCCATGAGAAAGAACCTGAAGATGAATTTTGCTTGTCGGCTACGACACTTATAGGAACAAAACTCAGTCTATCTCAGAGCATAAGTGGAACAGTAATTCTAGCTACACTCCAACTGCAGTATTTTTGCAATTCAAAAAATCCGCTCAGCTGAAACGATAAAATTCAAAGCAAAGAACTGCCTGCTCAACAGTTTTTTTCCAAGTTCTCTGCCTTCACGTGTCCTTAAAAACACACGTTCACCCCTACACGCGTCTTTACACATGTCCACACAACTCACACACTCACACGTCTACAAATACAAAAAAAGATGCTAATGTATGTCTTTGCAGCTGCACAAATGGAAGAAATTCGTAGATGTTATGAGCCTAATGAACAAAATGATGCTACCTCGCTGCTGTCGAATCAGGCCGATTATAGCACTTGATACGGAGAGTTGACTGTGAAGCACATGACTTTTGAATTGTTCAAAATCTTCGCGCGTTTCAAAACTTGCCAAACTCGCATTGTAGTACTAAAAATCACAGTACTTGCTCAATTTTTCATTATCTGTTTTTGGTGGAGAAATTACATCCCTGCGGCACCATGGTGAAGACTCTACATCTCATTTGAGGAATGTCTGTGACAAGTGGTATCAGTTTTTGATAAGGCTGAAGTGGTCGGCACTTACTGCGGAATTTCAGTAAACACAAAGCGTCTTATCTCATCTGCTTACTACCTTGCTGCAGTTGTACAGCACGCAAATTCTTCGGCTGCTTTGTTCAGTGCTGTATCGTCTGATGATCAGCATGATGGGCATCGATAGATGGTCAGCTAGGTGGTAATCTCGACGTGCAGTTTTGTATTTTAAATGTGTCTCGGAATACCTGCGAAAAGTCGGCCAAGAAGCCGCCACGAAGAAAAAGAGAAGAAATGTGTATTTTGCCTTGAAAGGCAGATACAAAGTAGATGTGCTGCCAGGCTGAACCTAGTGTAATACTAACACACTGCGTCCCGAAGTGGAGTGGCTCGATTCCCTTCCGGTCCAGAACAATTTTCGAAGAAAGTACTCCGGTCGCAACGGAAGGTATTATCAGCTTACTAGTTTCTTTGATCAAAAC